CTTTTCATTGATTTTCGAAAAGCTTTCGACACCGTAAACCATACTATCCTACTAGAAAAGCTAAAAGCCATCGGTGTGTCGGGTGACTTGCTCTCCTGGCTTGACGATTATATGTCTGCTCGTAAGCAGTTTGTCCAATTATCAGAATTTCAGTCCAAGCACAAAACAATTACGTATGGAGTTCCCCAAGGCTCAATATTAGGGCCCAAATTATTTTCAATCTTTGTAAATGATCTTCCTGAATCAATAACTAGTGGTGATGTATTCATATTTGCTGATGATACCACAATTTATACAATTGGCAAGGACATCGACAATATCATCTTGACACTGCAATGCATTTTAGACCAAGTATACACCTGGTGTCAGTCTAACAGATTAATAGCCCACGAGTCGAAGACTGAAGCCCTGATAATTTCAAGTCAGAACTTTATTGGTCCCTTGCCACGTCTGACATACGGCAATAGTACTATTGAGGACAAACAATCATCTAAATGTCTTGGGTTAACAATTGACAACAAGCTATCATGGCAAGAACACATTAAGAACGTTTGTAAGTCCTTCAGCAATAAAGTAGTAGTCTTAAAACGGATAAAGTTCCTACCAAAACAATGTTGAGGTCGATAGACCAAGAACAGAAATGGGAAGATCTTCGTTTAAACACCGTGCTGCGCTATCTTGGAATCTCCTTCCCGATGATATCAAGACCTCCTCTAACCTGGGTTCTTTCAAGAAAAAACTTAAGGCAAACAAGAACTTTCTAAAATCTATCAGTTTTACAAAAGCATCCTGCTGTATTTCAAACAAATCCTTAGACTTCAATTACTTTTAAAATTTTATTGTACATTCTTACTACTTATCTATTTTTAGCTATCACTATTTATTCAGCCATTGTCTTAATTATGTAGGATTATGTATTACGTAGGATTTTATTAATTTATAATNCTTGGAATCTCCTGCCCGATGATATCAAGACCTGCTCTAACCTGGGTTCTTTCAAGAAAAAACTTAAGGCAAACAAGAACCTTCTAAAATCCATCAGTTTTACAAAAGCGTCCTGCTGTATTTCAAACAAATCCTTAGACTTCAGTTACTTTTAAAATTTTATTGTATATTCTTACTACTTATCTATTTTTAGCTATCACTATTTATTCAGCCATTGTCTTAATTATGTAGGATTATGTATTACGTAGGATTTTATTAATTTATAATTTTAGATAGTGCAGGTCCACATCAGGACTTAGCGTCTTGCCAATTTTGATCTCCATCCTGCTTTATCAAATAAATTATGTATGTATGTATGTATTTTGAGAACTGACTCACCTTGTAAAATCCAAAGTTTGTAAAAGTAAACTGAGTGCTCGTCTTGCGAGACAGTGATAGAGAATTATCATCCTGCAAAAGAATTGGAACTTTGTTTGTACAGGAACTGTGCGCGAATCGGTGTTCAAGAGTCGGCTAATGAGAAGGCAGGTAGGATAATAAAGTCAAAGAATTTGAGATTAATAAATTTGGTTACACTGTCGGGAGGTTTTCAACTGAGTGTCACAATTAATCCAGAATTGCTTTGGTTTTGTATCACTGCGCTCAGCGATTCCGTTATATCAAATACTCGTTGTAGCTGCTCCACCAATCAGATGCAAAGCCAGCTGACCCAATCACATCGTGCTCACTCGCGTTTTCCCGCCTTTCCTGTCGGTTACATGTCGGTTTATTAAAGAAGCGTTTCCTTACTTCCGTTCCGTCAGTCTCGTCTGAGACAGAATTAACACCAGAAGTTGTCTTCGCCCAATGTATGTCCTTGTAGTTAATTTTCCACAATAAACTGTCCATTTCCCTCTTTAACATGTATTGTCTGTAAGGTAAAGAGCAAATAACTCTTAACTGCGTCAAGAATTATCATTGGAACCTTCTTTGACATTTCAAAAGTAATCACTAGGAATCTTAGGAATCCTACCTGATAATGTTGACGAGCAGTATGATACAAATGAGGCCTGCGAAGGCAGAAACTCCCCCTATCACTGCCTCTGAAATACAACAAAAATAAATAAGTCACTTGCTTCAAGAATAAGTAAATTATTAATTTTTTTATCTTCTTTCGTTTTTCTTTTTCAAATTCAAAAGGAGAGAATTAATTAGGAATGTCCAAGGCAATAATGCTTGAAACTCCGATTTGGCTTATTAAACGGTGTTTGAAATCATTGTACGCCTCCCCGAGGCAATCAAGACAAATCAATGAAACTCAAATGAAACTCATGAGTATGACACTAAACCTGCCTTTGAACCAAATGTGTTCGTGTTCTGTGCTTCGTCATACCCTTCCCAACACCGTACAAGCGGTACGGAGTATAGAATCCCCTCAGTCCTTGGGTTTTCGTTGAATTAAGACACCTCTAAAACATTAAACATTTATGACATAACCTGGAGCTATATAGAATAGTTATCTATTTGTCATGGCGTCGCTTAACGCCTGGATGTTCCTGGATGTTACTATTTTTCACAGCCTCAGAAAACAGGTTCAAATTATTAAGCAGCTAATACGGCAAAGTTACCTTAAAACAAGATATCATTGAAACGAAGAATTGCACAAGAAAGTTCAAAATTTAGACACCTGCGCCTCAAATAATACGAGTAGAATAAATATTACAATAGAAGCTCAGTGTAAAGTTCTTTATTGTAAATTCAACCTACCAATTTTAGAATTGTCATCAGGGGAAGTAGGAGTTACGTCTGGAGAAGGTGTCACACACCCCAGACCGTCAAACCCACACTCGGGACTGTCGGCAGGAATGCTTTTGTCATTTGGCCACCGAACCTTATTTATGTCAATATTAAGACGAAAGTCTTCTTGATTGAACGTGATATCTCCCACTTGAGAGGCATAGGGGGGGTTACTTTCGCAATCTGTGTAATAAAAGAATAAACTACAATTCACGACTCGATACAAAGCAGTGTTAGGGGTAATATCACAGCGATTTCCTTTTTTCCTTTGATCGAAACTTTGCTAAAATTCCCCGGAGCACGCCCATATAAAAAGGACGATTTTTACGGCTTAAAAGGAACGTCATCCTCCCGCACTGAACCTTCTAAGGGTGGACACCTTAATAGGAACCAAAATCGCTTTGTCAACCTCTAAAAGTTATGACGAGCACCCCCGTCCTTTTTAGATGGGAGTCCCTCCAGAACTTAAATTATGACCAAGAATCGTCGCCCAAAACAAGCCTGGCATGGCAATTTCCACAGTAGTAAGTTTTTAGCGATTTCTCCAAGACATAAGGGAAGAATTTGAAAAACTCTGCCCGCTTTTCTCAATTTGAGACCAGAATCTTCCACATGGTTAAATCTTGTTGTCGCGCGGCCCTCGCAGTCGGTTAGTAAGTGGTAAATTTCAGCGGCTGGCAATGCAAACCCATAGCGTAAGTAAATTCGACTAGCAGGCTTCCCTTAGTATTAGTAATTTATCAGGTTGCTGTGACAGTTTGCTAGTACTTCTTGATACACCTGGGTGGATAGAGGCACTGAGAGAGTAAAGAGTCCTATCTAAAAACACAACACAGTGAACCCAGTCAGAACTCGAATCCGGACGGCTCGTTCCCAAGGCCTGCACACTAATCATTAGCCCAGAGGGAAAAACCTATAATAGACACTTACAATTTGTACGTGAGCCATCGCTGTCCCAGCGAATATCAACGATACGAAGATCTGCAAGGTCGGCAGTTCCATTCAGATCGATAATCACTCGGGTTCCTAACTTGCCTGCGCAATGAAACACAACTCATCAGTGCTGTACTTGTCTCAGGGGTACTTATCCGTTAGACTAGGTTTTGCATTTGTTACATATGTCAGCTAATATCACTTTTTTGGTGTACTATAAAAAGCCACTAATAAACATTATTATTATTATTAAAAAAAATTAATTAAAAAAATTATTAATAGTAATTACTATTATCATTATTATTATAACAAAAACAAGAGCATTTTTGTATTAAGACATTGAAAATATACTTGTTCTGGGAATGTGTACTCAAAAAAATATACTTTCTCGTAAATTAAATTTCAAAGGTTCAATACTACTAAAATCATGATGATGATGATGATGATAATAATAATTATAATAATAATAATAATAATAATAATGATAATAATAACAACAACAGATCATAGACAAGTGACACAACTGGGCCGTTCAGTTGACGTGAATATCCTCAACAAGATCCTAGGCGTTTGTGTAACTTACTTTCGTAACTCGTGTTTAGCATTTTGTCAACAATGTTCCGTCCGGTTGGAAGTTCGTTTCTGCTTAAGGTTTTGTTCAGCGCATTGGCATACTGGAAAACGGCGTCATACAAATAAGCGGCGAAGTAAGGCAGCTGCCCCTGTGGAGAACAACAAACAAGCAAATGAACTACCAAATAATCAAGTGAAGTAAGTGATAGGCCAAGTTTGATTTGCAAGAAAATGAACCTGCAGTTGAAACACATTTTCATACGAATGGGTTTGCACAAAGACTCGTTTTGACATGGAGGCAGAAGAATGGCCTATTACGGAAGTAAGAGGGTAGGTAGGTAGGTAGGTAGGTAGATAAGTGGGTGGGTTTGTGGTTTTGTGGGTGGTTAGCGTTAGCCCTTTGTCAGAGCAAAGTAGAAGCTTGTGGGTAGTCCGCGCGGATCAAATAGTTTAAAAAGAAACGTTCATTGAACCTGTAAGGAGCCCAGGTACCGAGTTGAAAAATATTTTTACGACTTTCAGCGTTGCCTTGATGGAAAAAAACAATACAAAACACAGTAATGTTTCACGAGAGATGCCAGAGGAATTAAAATGTTTGGATACTTAGCAATGTAAAGCAATTTGTTCAGGGTGCAAGTCATACAGTAGCTTACAATGAAAGACGAAAGGTCTCGAATCTCGTTTGAGGTTAAACTTTTTTACAGGATTTCTTTTCACAGCTGCGTTTAAAGTTGTGAACATGACTGCGATGACCATTCATTTCTTTACTTACTCTACTGACTTTGTTCGATATAAAGTTTACGTCTGCATACGAGCTAAGTGGCCCATCAGGCCGGCGCTTATCTCCGGTTTCAGTAGCACGACGCGACTAGAAGTATTTCTACTCCCCCCTGGACGGGATTCGAGTTCATTACAGTGTTACCCCCAGCATTAATTTCGCTGGTACCCATTTATGCACCTGGGTGGAGAGAGGGACTGTGAGAGTAAAGTGTCTTGCCCAAGAACAAAACACAATTTCCCCGGCCAGGGCTCGAACCCGGACCGCTCGATCCGGAGACGAGCAAACTAACCAAGAGGCCACCGCCTTGTGAAAAAGCGCACTGACCTGTTTCAGAATTCATATAGAAGGGTCAACTTACCTCACTTGACTCGTTAGATAAGCCGGGAGAGAACCTGTCGAATTTTTGCTTGACTTCCTCCTCAAATGCTTCGTAAACCTCCTGCACCACTGTACTGTTAATCTCTACCAATATAACCGACTCCAAGGCTTGGTTATAATCACACCATCTCTCTCTGGGCAAATTCAATAGCACGAAAATCTGCCCAGGCCTCTTTATGTTGCGTATGTACTGTTCCTGATCAAGTTGCAGCATAACGAAAGCGTAATCACCGTCGGTCATACCCTTGTCAAATGCGTAGAGCAGCGTCTGTCGAGCCACGGCGTATTCGCTTAAGTAAAGCAAAACTAGAAGAGAAAAGGTTCGGCAAATCAGTAGAGCTCGACCTGAAGCTAATTACCATTCGAAATACATTTTACATCAAGGTCTGATCATACGAGTTCTAAGAGAGAAGTGCTGGACGCGAGTCTAATAATCATCAGCACAAGCCTTGAAATATACTCTACGCTCTACATGCATACATACAGATATACGGACAGACAGACATAATTTAACAACAAGACTGAAGCTTACTTCTAGATTTTTCCTTGAGCTCTGTAAACATATCTTGCATGTACATCTTTACATTCTTAACATGGCTTTGTTCACAGGTTCGGTTGTTGATCAAACGACTGTAGCATTTCTCATCAAGAAGTGTTTTCTCAAGCAGAACTTTGATATCGTTTTTCTTGAACTCGTCAACAACTCCATCCTTCATTCTAATGTAGCTGGTGCGATTTTCATACAAGATGGCCACTTGAGTCCAGTTAAACTTACGCAGCAACTTAATAAGCCCTCTGGACAGCTTGCGCACCTCTACTTGGATGTTGGTGCGCGAAAATGTTGCGTAAAGATCCTTCTTGAGCCCCAAAAACGGATCATTGCACATCTGTAAAGATAGAATTAAGAGTTAATTATCGACTTTAAAAAAACAAACAAACAAACAAACAAAAAACAAGTACACAAACAAAAACGTCTAAATTTTAAACGCAAGAACTTTCCAACTCGTCCATTCGAGAGAAAGCGCGCAAAAACAACAACTCAACTTTTGATTGCCATCCGTGGCTTAAAACGTCTGTTCTTATTATTCTCCCTGATATCAAAACGCAAGTTTAATAGGCCTAACTACGGTTTTTGATGCCATTTTGACGGGTAGGCAAAGCTGTCAGAAATTACACTGTTTGTATGGGAATCCGATGGAAACTAACTTTTTCAAACAATTGAATTTTACGCAATTTGTAAATCGCAACGTTGAAATATCAGGTAAAAGATTGCATTTACCAACTTTGAAAGATGTAGCTTGGCTAGAAGACGCTCAGTTAATTTTTCAAAATTTCCAACGCGGTTCGCGGGAAAAAATTATAGACAAATGCATGGGAAATTAAAAATTAACTGAGCTTACTGTCCTCCATCCCAGCTGCGTCCTTCAAATTTGGTAAATACAATCTGCTACCTAGTATGGTAGCGTTGCAATTCATAAGTTGTGCAAAAAAAACACCCGGGTCTGAAATACTAAGCTGGTAACGAGTCGAAGTTCACCAATTTGAAGGCTGACATTTTGAGCGTTAACTCTATTGCGCAACAAAGCAGAAGATTGCAGGCCACAAGTGTGTTTAAATATATTAGACTGGGGAGTTAGGATGAAATGTCTCTATTGACATACGGCTCTTGTTAAATGGAGAGCTCTTTTCCTTATTTGAACTTATTGAAAGATAATGAGATTAAAAGGAACTCACGTATGAAATCATTGGGATGTCCAATGCGCTGGCCAGTCGGGCTTCCACCTGACATGTACATCCGGGTCCTATTATGGCGGACACTTGCCTCTCGTGTATCTGATAAGCCAATGCTCTCAGCGATTGGTCCTCGTCGCACGCTGTATCATTCCAAATGAAAGACACATTATGACCGGGCAGAAGATCAGAGCTGTTATTAATGTCGTCCACGGCCTGAACGATGGCAGGCGCGTAGAACCTTCCCTCCGAGTTGGTGGACGCCGTCGAGGAAGCGAATGGAGTAAGCAACCCCAAAGTAAATTCTTCTCCAGATGTTGGGGTTATTAATGTCAGAAATAACAGTAGCAGAGGTAGAAGCTGCGGAGCTTTCTTGACAACACGCATGTTTGCGTTTAATCATTTGCAACTGTTACGGACAAATTGTCGTGTCTTGTACTTCCTTAGTCAACGTCCAATCATACTTCTTCCCTATGAGAAGACAGAAATTTTATGCATGGACGAAAACATTGCAGTAGTTAGCTATCTTAAAGCATGTTGAAAGACCGAAAATTCCGAAAATTGCTGTAGAATCCTCCAAATAATAGACACAAGACCAGAATTCCGAATATCTTTCCCGATAACAAAGATATTCTGAGGTCTCAAGGGATTATAAAAAGAATTCGATTGGAAAAACAATCATTGAGACAAAAATGTCCAATCAAAACAAAACACAGAGAATACATTCGCTAAGATTTTTTGTTATCCGATCTGACGTTTCCTGTACTGAATTTTCAGTGGCTTCTGTCCACTTCATCAATGTTGCAATGTTAAGGTACAGAAAACAACAGATCGGATAACCAATGTCTATCACCGCTCGCAGCACTGGAAGCAGTATTTTTAGAAAGAAAACAGCAGGTTGGTAAGTTGTAATTCATGGAATATCCCTGAAACGCAAAAAGGCTCAAAAGCTACCCTTGAACTTCTGCACCCACGTACAGAAGTTCAAAATGTAAAATTAGAAAATGGTCAGTAAACCAAAGACTGCTTCACTTCTGGTCAAGAGCAATCGCTTGACAAACACGTGCCACTCTCTGCATTGTTCTAATATAAAATTTCAACCAGGTGCATTGGACGAAATTTCTCAGCGCATGTGCACCAGCAAAATGTGAATATGATTATATAGATATAAACTAAATGGCGAATTTCGTACTTTCACTAAAAACAATTGAAATTGGCATTGCTGTCACGAAGATGCCAAAACTTTGTTTCGCACTGTTATGGTTATTTTTCATCTAAAGAAGCCGAAGACAGAGGCAAATTGCCCAAGAGAACAGCAAAACTAAGTTCAATTAATATTAATGTATTATACCCATCTGAAACATTTCATTCGACCACATAAAGGATTTTACTAAAACATCAGTTGGAGTTTTAAGTTTGACATTTTCAAAAGTTTCATTCTTTTTCTGCTGACGTTGGCTAGCCGCTTCAGAAATCTGTTCAATGAATGAATGAATGAATGAAAACTTAATTTATTACAGAGCAAAAATATCAGTACAAAAATTGAAAACAGAAATACATCACATGTAAAATTTTCTATTTACGGGTTTACATATTAGCCTTGTGGGAGTCTGATGCAAAGAACCATTTATTAATGCTTCTCATGAAGATGTCTAGAGATTTTGTAGTGCGACGTACCTCGGGAAGATCGTTCCAAAGAGAAGCTCCGCTGTAACTGAAGCTACGCTTCGGGTAGTCTGTTCTTGGTTTTGCTCAATGCTTTTATCACGCGGAATTTAAAAAGCCATTTTTAGTTTGCGTTTTCCATTTCAGTAAAATTGGACGCAACTGAAGAATAGAAAACATTTTCCGTGTTTCTATCGAGTTATAGAAACACGATTTTTTTTACCAGAGTATTTTCTTTGGGCTATTTTCTAATTTAACACATCTTTCGCCACCACCACTCTTAATTTCAATAAAAGATGATATCTGTCACCTTACCAATTAAGAAATTATTCAAGCACTCTGAAATAAAACCTCCTGTGTACACAATTTTAATAAGTTGGTTCACGGCTCGTTCCTGTCTCGTTGCCGACCCAGGATATCACTGATATTTAATTTCTGCGCCTATATTTAACAATCTAACAATTAAATAAACCGCCATCAGTTCAGAGGTCTGTGTGGGACTTGCTGGAATCAGCATCAGTTCAGTTGTCAATTAAATTCCCGCAGTTTCTCTTCACTTAAAATTTTAGCCCATTTCTCAGCGACAAGTAAATTTTGTTGAACTTAGATCCACGATATCAGTCAAACGCGCTTCGTTTCAGTTTCAGTCTTGAACAATTCTCAGATGAATGAATTAAACCCCATCCAGGCACTTGTTACAACGACTGAGTCGATCTACAAACGTTTATCTCCACGGTTGTGCTGAAGGTTTCACGGAACTTCTCGTATTATTATTATTATTATTATTATTATTATGAATATTATTATGAACTCGAGACGGGGGGAGGTGGGGGCGATATGAAGGGTATGTTTCTTTGAGCCGTTTTAATGTGAAAAAGAGCACAGACTTTTACCGGCCATTTTGGTCTGAAGTAGGTTTTGGTTTTTACTCTGGTTAAACAATGGGTATTTTTTTAGAGGGAACTACTTTTTTCAGCATCAACAGGTGCAAACTGGTGGCCCGTCTCAAATGTCGGTGCAAATGTAGACCACTTCTGTTTAGCTGCGGTTATATATTAGAGCCACGTATTAATTTTAGAGGTCTGAAATGGGGTATCGATTTTTGGCTCAGGTCTGAAATAGGGTTTGGAAAATCAAAGATTTTGGTCTGAAAAAGGGTAAGGGTTTCAAGCTTTGAGCTGTACACCCCTACCAAAAACTTTGGGGAATACTCTCCCCCCTTCCCCGGATTATGAAAAACAGCCATTTATTATGTTACCTTGGTTGAAAAATGTTTCTGACAAATCCCAGGGTCAAAAGCCTGGTACCAGTACAAAGTACATTTAGTAACCAAGAGTGCTCTCTTGAAAGAGTCAACTGAAACTTATCTCTCACCACAAACACCACTCACTATCAACAGACAAGATTATAAATTGGACCGCATCAGATCAGAGCCCTTTTCGGTCAGATACTGATGTAGAAAACATATAACATATTCATTTAACCTCGCACTTTCCCGAGAAAAGCTCATTGTTAATTCTGAGGCCGAGATCGTATCCATTTCGCTCAAAACTGCTTTGGCCCGATGTACCGTATTAGTATATTGTGTCAGCTTGAAACGTTACCAAAGAACGTCCGCTCTTTCGACTTCCTCTAGGCTGAAAGATGGTTCTACGAAATTATATTACTCGATTGTTTCACAACGGAACAGAAACTGGAAAGTACTTTCACCTTGTAGGTTTTAACATTGGTTTTACAAATGGCTTTACGATCTGACAGTTTTGTTGGCGGAGTGAACGCTCACACCGGAAAAAGTAAATCCAATTTGGTGTGATCACGAAAGCTTATTTCTAGAAATCTTATAGGGAAGGTCAAGTATAAACAATAAAGAAAAACGACCGAAAAAACAGTTCGCGGAAATTGCGGTTTCCTCGAGGCGTGTCAATTCAGTACGCACAACAAAACGGAAAATCTACATCATACAAAATTTTGTTGCTCGTGATATGATCACTGGTACCTTCGACAATGAAAAACTAGAACTCAAAAATCCGATGGTAAATTCATGTTTAAGTAACAATAAATGTGGTGAAGTTATTAGTTTTCTCCGTCAGCGAATTTGTTTATTTAATACCTGCACGATGACAACCCTGTGAAAAGTTTATTTTGCTTTTTAATACAAATAATTTGCTTTCGCGCAGGACACATCATTCTTCAAAAAGAAAAAGTTACCTGTAAAGCAAGCTTTCAGGTTTACAAATGACTAGATGGCAACAAAGAACCTACAATAGAGCCAGGTGATGCCTCGGTAGTTGTTCATCTAAGTGTGGTAACAGGATATTACTGCAAGTTAGTTGTTAAGGCCATTTTAACTAACGTCATTTGTGAGACTTAACCAACTCTCGCCATCTGCCGGCCTTCTCGATTTTTATAAGCTATAATGCGACCTGCAAAGAGTTCTCAAGCTGCCTCTTTATCAAAGGAGGAAAAACGTAGGCAATGAAAAAATTAAAACGTTCAATCGAAGCGAAACAACGTTCAAATTACAGAGGCGAAACGGAGTATGTCGTCACAGTTTGAATATACACCGCGCGCTGTTCTTCTTTTACTGTGGTGTGTTTATATTCGCCAGTACAATAGTAGTTTAAGCGAATCAAATAAAACGAATCACCCTACAAAACTGTTTGCTAATATGAATTTCCCCTGTGACAACAAGTCGAGAGAGAAAACACAACTCAAGAACTCAATCATAATAGCATTTCTCTCCGTCATGTTAGTACGGATGTCGAATGAATATTGATCGATCGTCGGAGAGATATCTGAGTTATTCAACCACATTAGTACCCCAGATAACCGTACAGTTTCACACTAAACAGTTAAGTTCAAACATACCTTCATCGAGACGAAATCCGTGTCTGGGAAGTGAACAATTTCTTCGACAGTATCGTACAGAACGTCAGCGCGTCCGGTCAGTGTTTGTTGTACCCATACAAACGAGGCAGAATAATCGTGACTACCCAACGTGAGGTATAGAATGATATGTTAATTTTAGAATAGCATGTGTTAAGTGATCCGCAGAGTTTACGCCTTAATCACGCAATGCGTAGGCAACTACTCAGTCGAACGTTGCACACTCGAGCACATCCTAGCCGGACTGAGAAAAACAATATGTAAACTAAAACAATGACCTTGGTTAAACCACTGTGTGTCGTCCACGACAAACGAAACAATTACTTACCTGCTGAATTGTTCTCTGACATCACTGAATAAAAGAAAAACAACAGAGCAGCAATGGGAAACTTATTGTTCTTGAGGCGGCATAACAAAAGAAGCACGTGGAGTCTTTTGTTTTTGGGTTATGACTAACATGCAATGACGCTTTTAAAGGCAATTTGAAATTCAAGGTTAGGATTACGGAAATAGAATTGAGCATTTTCCGTTTCGGCTAACTTTAATGGTCTCATTCAGACTATACGTCATGTAAAATGGGTGAGTATTAACACTCCGCTTGCATCCACTACCGATTTGTTTTGCAAGTGGTCATCTGTATTTACACAGAGACCAAGAACTGAAAATTTCCCCTGAGGAGCAACAGCAAAACTGCTCTTAATTTGGACGTCCAGGGCGCCATTTAAAAACAAACAAACAAACAAATTAAACAAAAAAAAAACAAGATCCCCTCGGTGTTGCAGGGCATTTCATTTCGGCTACTGGCTGTTATTTCATTCGAATGTGACATTTTCTGTCAACCGAAATAACTGTCTCCGGCGTGTAATTTATTAAAAAGGGGTCGCACAGCAAAACAACTCAAAAATAGCAGACTTTTAAGCCCAAAGTACTTATCCTCATCTTTAGATAATAGGAAAAGTAAAGAGAGAAACATTTTCGTGTGATGGGGCAAATTTACCAGGGCGTTTTCTCTCTACAGTCAGTCAAGTCCTCGGTTGCAATAAAGATAATTATTTAGAACCAAGAAATAGTTGCAGGGAATCAAAAAATCATTTTTCGGTCGAGTAAACATCCAGTTGGCCACCTGGTAGTCTGTAAGGAGTCCAGGCCCCTTCAGATGTATCACAGAGCGCGGGCAAACAAGCGGAAAAAGTATTTCGCTTTTGTTACTAAGCTTCTCTACGTGACCTGCGAGAGAGCTTGCTAGCAGTGTTTACTCTACACAGCGGTATCAGAAGGAGGACACTGTGGCTAGAATCCCCTAATTACGAATCCTTAGGACCAAGAACATGAACATAATGCGTCTAAGACGCATTACGTCTATTGCGTCTAAGGCGCATTACGCATCTCCCTGGTCAACTGGGGCCATTCGTATATTTGTTATCATGGCGTTGTTATAGCATAAGTGCAATTTTAACATATGCAATTTTGCAAATTTCACTCATGACTTAAGATGGTCTTTGGACGAACGAATGTCGCGGTCCTTTTGTCTCTAAAATTGTACGCGATTTGTTAAATCTTGAACGAACTATTTTGTGGTTCAAACTTTCTTACGTGAAATTCTGCATTTCAGCTGGTATGCTTCCGTTAAATGCCATTAATGCCATACACATGATTTAAAAGTTAATTCTCATTTCAAGAGAAAAAGTTCACAGGAAAAGCCCGATTGCAGCCTCTATCGGGAAAGAGGTCCAGAATCGACGGACAGTGACCCAAATCGAGCCAAGCAGATCAAATATTGCTGAATTTTAAGTTCAGTCGAGTGAAATATCATCCTCGAGGTTGTTTTTTTTTTACATTTTATTACGTATACTGTGGATTTAAATCATAAGCTTTCTATTTTTACACTGCACGGCTTGAATTGCGCGAATTCGTGGCATAAAATTAACATGATGCAAAAGCATTTCTTTTCATTCACGGTGGTCGATTTTCTTTCGGTTTCTAGGGCTTTCAAAACTCGGAATATAAAAACTATAGAACAGAAGCATACCGAGCTTTTCGGAACAAGACTAACTAATTTATGTTATCAAATTTAGAAACAAATTGTGAGTTTTCGTTTTCGTTGATTTATCATAACACAGCTCTTGTCGTTGCAGACTTTGCCTCTTATCTTTTATCCGTATCCTACGAATACAGGGGATTTTTCACAGCGACGCGAAGATATAACTTTTGTTTTCGAGTGATTACGTCAGAACAATATTTTATGAACGATAGCATGGAGTGACTAAAGTATTTTTTAACACGAGAAAATAAAATTCATATCGTCAAGCCCCCTTGTAATTTTATTGTTATTATATAGACAAACTGACTGTTGGCAAAAACAACCGTGCAAAAACAGGAAATGACGTCAGCAATATCCTCGCCAGTGAGGATATGGAAAATACGCCACTCGGGTCTCTGATGTAATTTCGTATAAATTTTGCCAGTAAAACACTCTTGTCTAGGATTTATCTGTCGGATACAACACGAACCACCAATACTGCTTACTACCAAATCAGAAACGAAAATGCAACAAATATTTGGTACCAAATCGATGTTTATTTTATTTACAATTTATACACAGTGTATATGTTCCTAATTTCAAGTATATTTAAATAAAGACCATGCAGATTGCACGATGTACACGCGGTGTTGTATGTAAGGCAAATATTCCGCTTACGTCGATACCTAATTACAGTATATTAACGAAGATGTGAGTGCTTACCAACCAGAGAACTAATGGCCAGTGCTGAAACAAAGGGTTTTGCTTTAGAAAACAAATATCGTCCAGGCTAAAGCTGTGGAAAATTGACGCTTTCGCAGAAATTAAAACTTAGACGACAGAAAAGGTTTTGATTCTATTGGATTCGATTCACTCGATGTTGCGAAAATAGCAATTTTCGCAAGCGTTTGGCTAAATTATATTCTTGTGATCCAAAAGGCAATATTGGATGACGTAAAGCTGATATCAAGCCCTCGGGCAATTTGAGTAGGGGTTTCTGGGCTCGGAGATCAGGAGGAAACTGAGATTTCAAGCTAAGGAGTTATTTTATCTTAATAACCACACTTAGCGTGTTTGACTAATAAGAGATTTATTACTCGACTTTACTTTGTCGAAGCTTTACCTGGTCCAATATTCCATCGAACAATATTGGACTGGATAAAAAATCTTAATATTCCGATTGGGTGATTTTGGTTATTAACCTTCCTAGCTGTCAACTTTAAGTGATGCATGTATAATATACAAAAGATAAGTAGGCGAAAATGCAAATAATCCAAATTATTTTGTTTTGTTGGTTCTCTTGCTTAAACGTGTCTCAGCGTTTCGCCTGTAAATCTCGCTATGTTTCTCTGAGGGAAAATAAACTTCCGTTTTGACGATCCATATGGCATATGTTATAATAGACCCATAATGACTCTACTTTTTAAATCGAGGTTTGGTCTAACTGAAACTGTGTTTAAACACCGGATTTAAGAGTGCCTGCCTGTAAAAATCAGACAAATTCTTAATTTCACGGCAAGGGTCGAAAATTCGATTTCGCTCATATTCTTATGGTAGATGGGCTGGGGGCTTGACAAAAACTACTGGATAGTTTTTTTGGCAAAATATCCTCAGTTTTATTTAAAAGAAATATGCAAATTACCGAATTCCGTTCTGTAAACACTAAAATATTTTTGTGCAATGTTTATTTGTGTACTGGGTTGATTTTAGGGAATGCTGCGTTGTCTTTTTGAGGGCAGAATAATTACATTTCGAACGCATGGATTTCATTCACTTAAAAGTACTTCGTAAAAATAATTGATTTTCACCATGTGCGAAACCTTCAAATGGATTAAGCTTCTGGGGGTTGAATCGCAGAAGGA